CGTGAGGTGGGCACAGGTGGGGGTCATCACTATGGCAATCAATAACAGACGTCATTCACCGCTCATTATCTCAGCGTAGGGGCATCGTAGGAACATGCGGTTTGTTTTATATGAACAAGGTAAGACAGCTAATCAATAATACTGCAAAGGATTGTCAAAATAAAACGAGAAAAGTTTATTAATTCGACTAATACTGCAGCATGGTTTCAGCATTTTACCCTTGTACGCTCTCCTTCTTTATACGCTCTTGATCATATATATACATATATATACATATACATATACATATATATACATCATATACATTCAATATATCATATACAATGTATAATGATTGCTAAGTAATTACAATGATATGGTAAAATCATGTCCTATATGGTGAATTTATATTTACCATATATAGTATCACATTTCTGGGTATAATTCTCTACACACTAGTGCAAGTACACACTATTGCTCTATTACCGGTGTTTACATACAGTCTAATGGTTGTTTAAAAGCTCTTGGAAAGTATTGCCATATGCTTTGGTTTTTTCAATGTTGTTGAATAATATAGTCCAACCTAGTTATATTTCTAGTCCCATGCAAGGTCAACATATCAATGAAAGCAAAATCATTTTAACAGCATCCTATTTCTGGATTTTATGGAAACCTATGAGTGATTTCTCGGGCGGTATTGGATTCGAAGATTTCCATCTGCTTATAATACGGTTGCTTTTGTAAATTACCAGGTTCTCAGCAGTGCAATGAGTGTAAAGAGGGTCATCTATTTAACAGATGTTTGTGGCGTCTACGACAAGCCTCCTGAAATTGGTAGGTTTTTACATGACATTGGTCTTGGTGTACAGTGAGTGTGCTTCTGGTGTGTGAACGCGTGTGTATTTGTGTGTTCACAGCTGGAGAGGCTGCCATAAAATAGCTGGTGTTTATAGGTCTATTGCCTCCAAGAACATAAATTCAGCAATAGAGAAAAGCCGAGGTGGCAGCACTAATGTGTGCTCACTACTGGAGCATTGCCAAAATGCTTGTAATAATACAACAACGGGTTTACTTAGAATTTAAACAAGCATTATTGTTGCCCAGTGCAGATTTTAAGATCACGTTTGCCCCTTATTGTGTTTAGTTTACGGCAATTCTAGACCTTTGGGTCTTGTTTTAAATAGGCTGAGCTAAGTAGTTGTGTATGGGATCAGATGGTGAGCGAGTGCGCGTTTTGCAAGGTCGTGGTCTAGGTCCAAATGCATGGTGAAGCATGCAGGGTGTGGCAGCGTGTTGCACAAGCACAATAACCGGTGTTGTTGTTTTTTTCTTTTCATTTCTTTATACTAGCTATTATGCTTTTAGGGGAAATCATTGTGAAAAGCACTAACTATTTGAGAATTAAAACTGAAATTTATTTTATACTTCCTCTGTGGCTATGCAATTTTAATTATTATAGAGTCAATACTGAGCCTTTTACAATACGTAGATAGGTAATCATTTGACCTAGGTTTGCTATGAATGCCGCTTCACTGTATGTAAATAAAATATATGTAAGTGAAATACCCTTAGTGAATAATTAGGTGACCCATGTAATTAGCCCTGAATCAATATAATCACGAGCATATATAAATCAGTTTGTGCGTGTGCATGTGTTCGTGGTACAAAACCTTGCAGCAATTATTCGCGAATTCGTAAAATTACGGGGGATCGAGCATTGGCGGCATCATCGGATAACTCATGTTACCCGCATCAATCATAGAAGCGCGCGAATCGTAGCTAACGCGTGATCGCTAACACTAGATTGCTAACATATGTAAATAAATAATAAAATAATAAATAATAAAATAATAATAAAAGCTAATAATAATAAGAGGGTAATCAGAGCTATAATCAGAGCATAATAATAAGAGCTAATAAATATTTATTAGCTCTTGATTATATTTCTTCACTGACAGGGTAGACGTCCTTCCTCTTCATTTCAAGGAAGGTACGACGGCATACATAAGAGTGGGATTCTTTCAAGGACTGTTCCAGGATTGTACTGATTTGATATATATTGTATTCGTACTGATATTCGCTGTATTGTACTGATTTCGTTATCTCGATTTAATTGTTTCTTTTTTATTTTGTTTTGAT